TTGAAAATAATTATGCATACAATGGACTCAGGACAAGGTGCTTTCCTATTAGTCTTCCTACCAATATGACAAGTTGCGAAAACAAGGTCAAACAATTTTTATTTGGGTATGCCTTCTTTTAGAGGGAAATATGAACCATTATCAAGATCTGGATATTATCAGATTGTGTGCTCCTGTGGTTGAATTTTTGCTGATAAGGCCTGTTCTCCTATGCGCCGAAGATGAGCGAAACTTAAAAATGCTTGTGAAAGCGGCTGCGTTGATCTATCAGAAGTGGTTGAGCACATGGTAGAGAATGGAAATGTGCTATAATGTTCTCAGACGCAGAGGTTTGCTGATTGTGAGTCTGCTGAGTGATGATTCTATTTAACTTATCATTCGTTAATAAGTATGTTAATCTCACTAACAAAATCAAACGTATGAGATTACGAATGCCGTGCCTATCCTCGGATCATTAAATCCTAATAACTCTAGACTAACGGGTTCTGACAGGTGGTTTCTTAACCTGACATTCACATGTATAGGCTTAAATTTCCTTAGTTTAACCAGAACCAGCAATTTCTATCATGCTTTTTATTTGGGACAGTAAGCATTGATGACCTGTGGCTATTGTAAGGCCTTTTACAAATTACTGTGAATATGACCATTTTTGTTTACAAACATTAGCACAAATGCACATACGCACACACAGACATACTGGAGTATAAGATATTTAACCAAACCAGTCAGTATAAATCTATGCCTGAATATGACGAAAGTATGCGCAGCCCGGTTTGCCCGAAACGAGCGAGAATGACTCGTAGACTGCGTCAATTTAAATGCCATATTTAATTTAGACAGCTGCAGTACAACTGGGATAAGCCATGTCTTCTTATGAGATCGATCTACCAGTCTCAAGCACTTTCATACGAAATCGAATTCTCCACAACAATGTTATCACAGTAGATTTATCGAAACCCACTTTTTATTCGTATATATAAGAACTCTATTTTTGAGAGAACTTTATTTCTTTTATGCCTCTACTTGTTTACTGTCAGCTACTTTAATTTATTTTCAGAAACCTCCGTCATTTGGCTTCAACATAGTCGTGTCCAAATAACAGAAATAACATGGCCAATTGTGTTAATTAGCCACTTGATTCCATGATAATGTACAAGGTTTATACTGAGTACATGCTGGATATCATCCTATTAAAAACAATGATCAATCGTTTCTATAATCAAGGAGGCTATCATGGAACTCAAAGATTTTCAGATATGAAATGTTTATGACAGATTGGTATGCTTTCCGTATTCACAAACAACCACGTATACTGAACCAACACACCTTAAATTTAAGTGATTTTCTTTCTATTCTATTGTCTCCAAAGTAAAATAAAAATTTATTGAATTGGGTAGAATCCAAGTTTGTTTTTATTTGCATGCTAGCGCCTGTGCAAAAACACGTAGGCTACCTGCAATTCCTATATATTAGTTATATTTACACTATGGCATGACTTTCCATATCGTAGGTGGGGTTGGTTGAAAGATATTAATATAATGGTCTTACTAGTAAATGAAGGATTGCCGCGGTGTGAAGATTGTTTGATTAAGCGAAGAAACTTTAGGCTTACCGTTTTTTGTTCTCATCCAGGATAGACTGCAGTTTCTACCTCGCCTAGGTCTTGCCAACACTCCCAGTGCGAGTTGAACCATGACAGTGCAGTGTGTAAGCTAGACGCGTTAACTACTCCGGCACATTGTCCGAGTGCCCTTAGGTAACGGGACAGATGGGAATTTCAAGTCCAGACATTTTAGCATATTATATTCTTTGGTGGGAGTGTCGATGAAGCAAAGTCAATCCTCTTTAACAATCGACCACATTACTTATCTTTTGTTTACAAGCAGTTTTGAAGCTACTAGATCTCATATAACTGATTTAGTGATTGACATCTGCCCTGTAACCAAAGGGCACTCGTGGCAACGTGACGGAGAGGTTGACGTGTAGAGCTTAATCGCTGAAATGTCATGGTTCGACTCCAACTGGGAATGTTCACAAGACCTAGGCGAGGTCGAGAATACAGTCCATCCTAGATGATAAACAGAGATAAATGGAATTTGATGGTATAGGGTAGCATACTCACATCATATTGAGAAAATTGAGCTATCAGGCTTTCGCCACTAAGTTAATAGAGTACTTGAAGCAAACATAACATAAAGCAACAGGCAAGCTGTCTGAATGCTTAAATATTGATTCAATTTACAAAAAATCATAATGAAATTATTAAGGTTAAAAAGCAGGGGAAAATAGCCCATCATCTATTCTCTATGGCCGACTGACCAGCCCAATAAAGTGAAAGAAGAGGATAGGAAGATTAGGCGTTAATGCTAATATTAATCCTTAAGTTCTTGTTTTAAAAGTTTAAGTAGATCAGACTTCTTTAGGTTGGCAGGGATGCTGCTTCGGTAGCTGAGTGTCCGGAGAGCTTTACGAAGCATAGGAGCTGTGAGACTGCCCAAATTGTTTAGAGCTTCTAGTTCAACTAAATATTCTTTGCTCAACTCCAGCTCAGAAGCGGAGTCAGCTAGCGAGGAAAAATTGGGCTTGATGGGTTTATCAGATAAAGCCAGCTTCTAAAAACGGATTAAAGGGAAGAAAATAGAAAGTAAAATAAGTGTATGAGAAAAAAGAAAATTAAGATTAGCGGAAGAAAGATGAATGAAGTAAAGGGAAAAATAATTAATTATTGTTACTAAGAGATATAATGAAAATCCAAGTTTGCGCATCAGCAGTAGCAGACATAATAAGATCTATTTCGGTAGACACGGCCGAGTAGAAGCCAAGTCATGGTTACAAGAATATTGCCGGCCACATCCGGAGTATATCGCGCTGAGTTAAGACTTGGGAACCGCAACTATGGCTCGTTGATTGCAATAAAATGAGAGACTATAAGACTAATAGTAGTGGTTATAGGTTCGTTCCGAAAACCTACTTCCTCTGAGTGCACAGAAGAAATAGTATGCAAGTGTACTAGTTTTTGTACCTTTTATCTACTCTTCGAAGGAATGAGGAAGGGATTCGTAAATCAATATCCGTCAGAAACCGTAGGATTGCTTTTGAGTCATGACTATGAGTATGCTTAAAAAAGCCCCTGACATTCCGTCCTTAAACCCGATAATTACGTTGAGTTTGTTTAGATGAATTTTAATCTCACAGGTAGGTACGCCGACGACTTCTGGGAGAGATTTTATAGTTATGGCTCAGAAACAATCCTTCTGCTTCCGATGGGCCTTTCACCTCCTTAAGCAAAGTAAATAAAAGGTACAAAAATTATAGCACTTACACTTTTATTCCTCTGTGCTTCATTCAGAACTTTTGGAATATCAACTAGTCGGAGACAATCCTCCTTCGGTTTTTGGTAAGAGTAATTTATCAATTTCTCCCATCAGACTTTTAATAAAAACATAGCTATCAAATTATATAGTGTTCCTCAGACTTAATAGTTAGTAAAAAATAGAGTTGTTGATGATATATCATCCCACAATTAAAATAATGATAGTGCCGACCGAGAATTAATTAGTTTTGTATCGAAATCAATTTGGACTTGGCGGAAAAGCCTTTAAGTGAAATAGCTCACATTGTGGCATGACTCTCCATTTCGATTGCCGGTGGGGCCAGATCACGAATTCCTTCTAACCAACTTTCCTTCGAAATGGAGAGT